GATATTGAGAAAGCTGGGGGGAAATGAATTTAAGCTTTTGTGAGACCCATGAAGCAGATACCCATACAAGATGGGTGTTGTTGTTGTTGTTGGTGGTGGTGGTGGAGGAGGAGGAGCAGGAGGAGGAGGAGCAGGAGGAGGAGGAGCAGGAGGAGGAGGAGGACTGTGGAGTCCTTGGTGCTTTCTGAGCTTGGTTGTTTTCTGGCAAACATTTCATGACCCAACTAGGTAACATTATCAATGCTAGAAGGGAGTGGCATTTGTCAGGAGGAGGAGGAGGAGGAGGAGGAGGAGTAGGTGGTGGTGGTGGTGGTGGAGGAGAAGGAGAAGGGGAAGGAGAAGGAGAAGGAGAAGGAGAAGGAGAAGAAGGAGAAGGAGGAGGTGAAGGAGAAGGAGGAGGTGGAGGTGGAGGAGAAGGAGGAGGAGAAGGAGGAGGTGGAGGAGAAGGAGAAGGAGGAGGTGGAGGAGAAGGAGAAGGAGGAGGTGGAGGAGAAGGAAGAAGGAAGAAGGAGGAAGGAAGAAGGAAGAAGGAGGAGATTCTGGGGAATTTTAACTGGAGACTATTAACTTTTAACACTGCTACCATCCTCATCTTCATTATTAATTTTAATGCTGCACGTTGCCTTGATGGGATAGCTACCAGTCAAAGCAACCTAGAGATTATGTAACCAAAGAAATTCTAGGCACATCCCATATAAAAATTAATGTTTGGTGGAAACAACTTTGTCGAGGTCTGCAGATGCCTGCCTCGGAAATGAACGTCTGATCACATTGTGTGTTCCTTCTTGACCAAAAACGGGGACAAGCCAGTGTGGTGGCACTCAGCTGGAGCCGGCTCTTGTGGAGTTTTATGCTCCAATGTTCTCCATCTCAGCTTGTCTCCAGTGTAGCTCATCCAGCGACACGCCAAGATGTCATTTTGTCCCTCAGCCTTGTCGGCGTTTTGCTTCACTCCGGGTTTTTTTCCAGACCATCAGCTGCCCACGTCACGTACCCAAAGTATGTTCGTTTCTGCTGGATGATGGTCATCTCCCAGGACCAGACAGCCTGGATCGCCTCAGAACTGAACAACACGTTCTTCTTGCAGTCCATGGTACCAGGTAGCCCTCAACATACAAGCACAGCTGCGCCCAAAATGTATAAGCGAGGCATTTTTTAAGAGAGTTTTGCCCCATTTTATGACCTTTTCTGTCACAATTGTTAAGTGCAGTTGTTAATTTAGTAACAAGGTTGTTTTCAGTGAATCTGGCTTCCCCATGGGGACACCACAAGTAGAATACTGTGTCCAGTTCTGGTCACCATGATACAAAAATGTTGTGGAGACCCTGGAAAGTGTGCAGAGAAGCCCAACAAAGATGACAAAGGGTGAGGACACTAAATAGTATGGTGATCAGTTGTGGGAGGCTACGGTATATCTAGGGCAGACATGTCAAACTTGCGACGTCACGTGACGTCGCGCAACATATCGGAGCTTTTTCTCCATTGCCGGCAGTGGGGTGGGCGCAGTTTCCTGATGACGCGTCTGGCCCATGGGGCGACAGTTTGACACCTCTGATCTAGGATATCAAAGGGAATCATAAGGAGGGACATAATAATAATAATAATAATAATAATAATAATAATAATAATAATAATAATAATAATAATAATAATAATAATAATAATAATAATAATAATAATAATAATAAAGTTGTAAGAGACCTTGGAGGTCATCTAGTCCAACCCCCTGCTCAGGCAGGAGACCCTATACCATTTCAGACAAATGGATGTCCAGTCTCTTCTTAAAAACTTCCAGTGTTGGAGCATTCACCACTTCTGGAGGCAGGTTGTTCCACTGGTTAATTGTTCTAACTGTCAGGAAGTTTCTCCTTAGTTCTAGGTTGCTTCTCTCCTTGGTTAGTTTCCATCTGTTGCTTCTTGTCCTGCCTTCAGGAGCTTTGGAGAATAGCTTGACTCCCTTTTCTTTGGGGCAGCCCCTGAGATATTGGAAGACTGCTATCATGTCCCTCTTAATTCTTCTCCTTATTAAATTAGACATACAGTTCCTGCAACCATTCTTCATATGTTTTAGCCTCCAGTCCCCTTGATTCTGGAGGCAGGTTGTTCCACTGGTTAATTGTTCTCACTGTTAGAAAGTTTCTCCTTAGTTCTAGGTTGCTTCTCTCCTTGATTAGTTTCCACCCTTTGCTTCTTGTCCTGCCTTCAGGCGCTTTGGAAAAAAGCTTCACTCCCTCTTCTTTGGGGCAGCCCCTGAGATACTGGAAGACCGTTATCATGTCACCTCTTGTCCTTCATTAAACTAGACATACCCAATTCCAGCAACCGTTCCTTATATGTTTTAGCCTCCAGTCCCCTGATCATCTTTGCTGCTCTTCTCTGCACTCTTTCTAGAGTCTCTTCATCTTTTTTACATTGTGGTGACCAAAACTGGATGCCGTATTCCGAGTGTGGCCTTACCAAGGCTTTATATCCTCATTTCATTGCAGAACGATCCCACTTCACGGGATCTTGATTCTATCCCTCTGTTAGTGCAGCCTAGGACTTCTTGAGGATTGTCCAACTTCATCACTGTCTTCTCCCTAAGATTAATTTCTTCTTTGCTGGTCTTGCACACTGAGCCTCTTTATTTCTTCTCGAAGCCGAGAAAAGAAAGCTATCTTCTAGGATCCTTTGGGGGGCCATCAACCATACACTAAATTCACTGTGCACGCAGGTTGAAAAACCAGGAACTGTTGAGTAAAATCCCCATGTCTATAAACAACTCCGCCTATCGATTGGAGTCCTGGAATTTACAATTGCTCTGTAGTGGTTCTTTTATTTAAATCAATCTCTGCTTTTCAGCTGAGAGGTGGACACCAAGGTAGTTAATGGATTTGTAGTGAGAATCAAACCAGGGATTTCACCAAAGATTCTGTTGCATTCTCATGGTACCTGCATACAATAATCTCCTACGGAAGCCTGCAAAAATAGAGGCAGCTGTAGTTGTTATAGGGCTGGGATCTGCACATCCTTTGGGGAACACCGGATGGGCTTTTAGGAGGCGCTGTGGATTCCCTGCTCTGACTGAAAAAGCAGGTTTTCCAACTCTCTGCTGTGGAATGAGGTTTTAGATCTCTCTGAAGGCCATTTTGGATCTATAGGCTCAGTACATCTGAGTCAGCAAGTCATTGCTGAACAGCTACTGCAGTGCAGTGAAGTACGATGTGCAATGAAGAAATAGCAAATAGTGTGTGGAAGTTTCCTCCATTAATTATCCACAGAGATGTTCTCTCTGGCTGATGTCCTGATGATGTGGTCCAAAATGCATCCAGAGAGACAAAAAAACATTGATGAGAAGGACATTCATGAAAGTTTTTCTCAAACTTAGTGACTTTAAGATGAGTTGAAGTCCACCCATCTTAGAGTCATCAAGGTTGAGAAACCATTGTTCTGTGGGGAAGTAGGTAGTCAACATCTTATTCAAAGCAGCCAATGATTCTCCTAGGTTGGTAGTTTAGAAGATAATATGACCTTTTCTTGATTAGGTCCAAATCCCAATAAATTAAACACTCTGCAGTGGACAACAAAAGGCATTTGAGAAGCTCCTCAAACAAGGAGAAGAAAGTGAGATCCATCTGACATTGCTTTCTAGAATCAGCTAGGGTTGTCTACAGGGCATAGTCAAAAAACAAACATCAAAATAGTACCACAATGGTGTGTTCAATGGTCTATCTGTTCTTTATGTGCGATTGCAAACTCAATTTTTTTGCAATAACAAAGCTGTACAGTTTTCTAAATGCAGCTTCTTCTAGATTTAGAGAAGACCCTGATTCATTGGTTTCCTTATTTTCAATTCCCTTCTGAATGATTTTAAGAGTAGGGCTGGTTTTTCTTGCAACCACCACACACAAATTGTTTTTTTTTTCTCCCTTCCCTTCTCCTCCCCGATGCCACCATTTTTAATGGCTCCTATTTTGGGATGAGGCTCATGTGTTGAGTCCAATTTGTTGATCCATCAGATGCCTCCTTACCTACTTAAGGGAAGGGAAAAATTTAGAAGAATTGAGCTGTGTGTCCTGAGAGAGAGAGACAGAGACAGAGAGAGACAGAGAGAGACAGAGACAGAGACAGAGAGAGAGAGA